GTGACTTTTAAATTCAATATTAGAATATTAATAAACAGTAACTAAATAATTTGTTATACGCGATTGTATAATTCATGCAGCAGGATATATTAATTTTAATAATTCAGCTTCGTCGGAACTATCATCACTGTCATCACTGCTTTCACATACTGCTTCTATGATTGTGAAGTAATATGGGCTGAGTTTCGTTTACCAATATTATTTATTATTGTCTTATGTTACAGTGTGTCGCCTAGAAGAATTCTGAATTAAATACTCCAGTAGATAATGACAATTCTGAAGCGGTTGACATTGATGAATTATTAATAAATTTTATATCCCAGAACCCTTATAGAAATATCATACTAAGAATCATTGATTATTTTCAGTATTAAAAATACTGGATAATAAGTAATTATCAATGATTCTTAGTATGATATTTCTATAAGGGAAGCAAGCATTATTTGACTATCGGATACTAGCAAGTGACAGAAGCAGTTTAAAAAAGAATACACTGTGACAAAAACTATGTAATTCATTGGGAGTTTACAGAATGTTTTATATTTTCTTTATTTTTAGCAATACTATATAATAAATATAACTTTGCAATTATGCGGCGTAGCTCCTGCTTTTTAAACACATACCAACATTGCTTTAATGAATTTAATAATTAAGTTATAATAAGAAATAATTTGTCAGATTTCATATTAAATACAATAGATCTTAAAGACACAGATCAACTCTTTTGCTTTGTTGAGATTTTCGCTACGATTTTGAGATTATGTTTAAATTTCTATTCCGCAGAAATGTATTTTCTACTGTCCCATGCTGCAGAAAACGCGGAAGCGTAAACTGTGCGTGCCAATAATATATTCTGATAGATACTACAGGGTACCTATTATGGACTTCGGAATCAATTCCGATCGGAATAATTCCGTTTCCTCTAAAAAAGACAACAAAAATCTAGGAAATAACTGAATGTTTCCGATCGGAATTGATTCCGAAGAAGTCCATAATAGGTACCCAGAAGGATAGATACTACAGGGAAAAATCTTGTGATTGGCTAAGCGCCAATTGCGTTTCCGCAAGTTCCGCTCCATGGGGCATAGGAAAATACATTTTAGCTGAACATAATTGACGGAATGTCTGTGATAGGACAGAGTTCGTTCCGCCAATTCCACATTCCGCATGTTCCGCAACCATGGGACCGCACCATAAGACGTAATGTAAGAATTGACCAATCATGTTGAGAATTGTCGAACCGTAAAATCACCATTTTGATGAATTCTCGATCGTATTTGGTCAATTTTTACGGTACGTTTTACGTTACTGTTATGTCAATGGCCGCGTTCAGTAGAACAAGTGATCAGTAAGCGCTCAGTGAGCTCTTGCATCTGATTGGAGTATAGTTGGAGATCTAAAAGAATATGCCAAATCATATACAAGAGCTCCCTGAGCGCTTACTGATCACTTGTTCTACTGAACGCGGCCAATTTGTGTGTGAAGGCCCTAAGGCCTGTTCTACAATACGTTGTATATCGGAATCGGATGTCGAAACGTAATCAAAAGTTTAATCAGGAGAACTCGTCTCGAAAAACAAATCCTCTGATTGGCATCGACTGCACTCCGACATACGATATCGACATACGATGTATTGTAGAACAGGCCTAAGGGCCTTCACACACAAATTGACAAAACAGTAAGACCTACCGTAAGAATTGACCAATTACGATCGAGTATTCATCAAAATGGCGATCTTACGGTTCGACGATTCTCAACATAATTGGTTAATTTTTATGGCTTTTGCACACAGGACGCGGTAATGCTTGCCATACGGCGGAAGTTCGCGCGACAGCCAATCAATATGCTGCTTCCCGTAATAACCTTCTAGCTCTTACGGAAAAACAACATATTGCTTGGCTGTCGCACGGACTTCCGCCGCGCGGCAAGCATTACCGCATCCTGTGTGCAGGAGCCATTACGGTACGTCTTAAAGGCCAAATCACACTAACGATTGGCAATAGATGATTGACGATCGAAGATTGAAACTTAACCAATTGGAACAAAGCAAGCCAAGGCTGAAGCTTGTTGATTCGTTAAAATTTAATCTTTAATTGTCAATCGTCAATCGCTAGTGTAATTTGGCCTTTACGTTACTGTTATGTCAATTTGTGTGTGAAGACCCTAATCACTATTTGTATGTATTTGACCGGAATAAAAACTCAGGTTGGAAAACTATTCTTTTAAATCGTTTGTATTTTGTATGAAGAGTTTTGAAGTGCAATTGAAAAGATTTGTGAATCATTCTATTACTTGTAATTAATTGTTCTTTTTTGAACCATGTATTTAGCCGGAAATAATGATCGGAGGTAAATTAAACAAAGATTCGGTATGGTATCGTTTGTATTTCGTATGAAGAGTTATGAAATATCATTAAAAAGGTCCGTGAATTATCCAGATAATTTTAATTAAATATTAAAATATCATGTATTTGGCCGAAATATCGATCTCAAGCGCTGCTGTGGAAGTATTGTTAGACACGATCGGTGTACTATCTAGTATTTCAATACTCCTGGTTCTTTTTCGGATAATTATGCACTGTAACGTCCGGATCTATTTTAGAACATTAATAATATATTATTATAGACCGGGAGGCCGACTTGTCTGATTTCAGACATCACTAGATATTATATCCCTATGTTACTAGATGTAAGTACGTGCGCATATGCATATTCGCGAGCGTTAAAACATTATAATTAAAATGCCGAATGCTGCGTGCTGCTGGAGAGTCTCGAAATCGACGGATCTCGGATCGACCCAAAGAAACCGCTATCGCTCAGTGCGATAAGCCAACATAAACAGGAGCATGAAAGCTGAATCCTAAACACCACTCAGGACACCGACGCGGTGACATCATGCAAAGGAATGAATCTCTTCCCTCGCCATAACTCCATGGACCAATCGGAGAACGACTCTCAGCGACAAAGCGACATATAAAAGCGCGCGCACTCGTAGAGAAGGCAATTGATATAATTATTTTTCTTCTCATAGTTTGTCTCTGGTAGCTTCGTGTACTTATTCAGCATATTATACTTAGTCGTAAAATCCGACTGTGTTGCAATTACTTTTGCCTACCCTTCATATTTCAAACATTGCGAAATCAAATTCTGAATCACGGGCGTCATCAACCCGCGTGGTATCGGAACTTCCGAGGCTGAGCCAGGAGAACAAGCACCGCTGATTTTCCGCCAGATTCATCAATCGTTTCGCCAGGCTCCCGAGACCCAGGGTAAACTCGGTGAAAAGCAGAGTGACCCAAAAGCGGAGCCATC